CACCATTGCACACTACAGATGTTAAACTAACAGGCCTGTAGATACCCGGATCACTTTTTTTCCCTTTCTTGAAAATAGAATTCATGTGTCTTATTAACTCTGTTTTCTCCTAAAGCTCCAGAAAAAAAAATCACAGACATATAAAACAGGCTGTCCAACACCGTCTGTAATTTGGGGGGCATGTCATAAATATTAAAAATAGGGTAACAACCTTTATGTATCCAGTAATATAAAATCCCTCTTGGCCAAAGGTACAAAATCACTTACCTATAAAGGGTTAATCAGTTCAATTAACCTAGTTGGCACTTAACCAAAAAAATACTTTCAAATTGGGGGTGGGGGTGGGGGTGGTGGAAGGCTTTGTTTGTGCTCTTTTGTGTGTGTTCCCTCTTAAAACAAAAACAAAAAATAACCAAGCAGGTAATACAGCTTCTACTAAAATAATACATCTAAAATTACAAAAATTATAAGTAATAGCAAAAAAATGCATTAAATTAACTTTTGTTTTAGCCTGTAAATTTAGCCTATGCTAAAAAAAAGGTTTATTCCTGTTTTGTGACTTTAAAGTTAAGCCTAAAGAAAAAGCCTCTGTGTTTTACGTCTTTTTATTACCCTGTAAAATTACCTTCCATCCTAATTTTACAGAGGTGCTTCTTTTACTTTTTTTTTATAATAAAGTTCTTCTTTTAAAAACCTAATTGGTTTTTAGTGTCCTAAAAACCCAAGGGTCTGGTCTGTGCTCACCTTGTTAACCTATTTGTTTGGTATATTATTCTCAAGTCTCCCCAGAAAATGGGGTGAAGGGGCTTGGGGGAATATTTTGGGGGGGGATAGGGCTCCAAGTGGCCCCTCCCTAAATGTTTGTTTAAATCTCTTGGTGGTGGCAGCAATACCGTCCAAAAACAAAAAACAAAAAATTGTGCCTTAAAAAAGTTTTTAACCTAAGCTTGTAAAATATAAGCTTAGGGGGTCTTTCATGCAGGTCTCCACATCTGTATCCCAAAGTTCAAAAGTAAAAACCAGATCTTTGTAAAATTTTCAAAAGTGTCTAAGTAACTTTCGAAGATGAGACTTAGGTGCTTTTGAAAATTTTAAACACTTGTCACACACATTTAACTGCTTCTGTAAAGAAAAGCTGTGGACAAGGGAAACTGCAATTGATGACATATATTTGAATTTTAGTAAAGCTTTTGATAATGTATCTCAAAGTTAATGTGTCATATGCATTGAAAAATTGCTGGAAGTATCATAAATTGAAATGAAACAGCAACAAATGCCCAGGTATCATGGTGAAGGGCACAGTATAAGAACATAGATAAATAACAACATAACATTTCAGATGGTAGGTGTTGTTGGTGGATGCATATGAGGATAAGGTTCCTTCCTAGTTGCCTAAATTGGAAAATGGGAGGTAGGGTGAGGAAAGCACCGGTGCTTTCCCTGGGTAATGACCGTCCTTTAAGCTGCCTGCCAGGACCTAGCAAAGTCACAGGTATGTATGTTAATTGGCTTACCGAAGAATCCGAAATTTCCTTGAGCGTTTGGTCAGATCCAACAGCAAAGATGATTTTGGCATCAGGAGAGATGGCAACACCGCTGTAGCTGCAGGACTTGAGCACACACTCTGACTCCCTCTTACCCGTCAACAAGCTCCACTCGTACACTGCACCATCTGTGCCACAGGAAATCAACTTATTGTCATCTGCACTCCATATGACTGAGCGCACCTGGTAAGAGTGGAAACACACCAGTCAGACCCACACTTGGTGACTCTATGAGCCCTGGAAGGGAGCTCGTGTCTTGTTAAATCTGACCATTTTATCTGGTGAACCCCTTCTAGACATGGTTCTGTTTATAGTAATCCCTGTTTTATATGGCACAGCCATGCTTCTAATATAGCTTTTGCTCTTTTTAAACAGCCAAACTCTTTGTAATTAAATTTCTCCTCCTTTCTTTTTTTGTGCTAGGTTATTGTTTTTTTTCTTTTGTTTTTGTTTTTTGCTTTAGAAAATGTATAAGAATTACTTATAGAATTAAGCACACTGATAGAAAATGTTAAAATGTTAATCATATTACTGAGCATAAGGGGAGTCCTGTAACATATCTCCAGGTTCTTTCATCTGTTACTCCAATACCATTACCAACCGCTACCCTTCAGAACAACCTGAATACATTATACAAGTTGACTACCAGTGACTGAGCTCCTACCTAGTGAGAAGCAATGAACACATCAGTGCACTGAAGATATTTTCACTACAGCAATGAGCTACAGAAATATTAGAATAAATAATACTATAAAAAAGGGTTACTGACCGTAACTGTTGTTCTTCGAGATGTGTTGCTCATGTCCATGCCACATTAGGTGTGTGCATGCCGTGTGCACTGTTGCTGGAGATGTTTCCCTCAGTGGTATCCATTGGGCTGGCTTTAGCACCCCCTGGTGCAGCGCGCTCAGGTGCTGGTATAAGGGACGTCACAGGCCATGCACGCTCTCAGTTCCTTCTTGTTGGTCCACTCCGACAGAGGGGCAGGAGGGTGGGTCATGGAATGGACATGAGCAACACATCTCAAAGAACAACAATTATGGTCAGTAACCATTTTTTCTTTTTCGAGTGCTTGCTCATGTCTATTCCACATAAGATGACTCACAAGTAGTACCTCAGAAGGTGAGATCAGAGTTCATGGACATGCTGGCTGCAACATTGCTCTTCCGAACCTGGCGTCGTCTCTGGCCTGTGGGGTGATGGCATAGTGGGATGCAAAGGTATACACTGATGACCAAGTTGTTGCCCTGCAGCTGTTCTGGACCGGGACTTGTGCAAGGAATGCTGCTGAAGAGACCTGAGCTTTCGTGGAGTGAGCAGTTAGGATGGCCAGAGGTATGACATTCGCCTGCTTGCAGCAAGCCCACAGGCAGTTATCCAGGACAAGTTCCTCTGGGCTGATACTGGAAGCCATTTAATCTTTTCTGCTACAAAGAGCTATATGGATTTGTGAAAGGGTTTAGCCCTTTCAATACAGAAGGTGAGGGCATGCCTAACATCTAATGAGTGAAGCTGCTGCTCCTCAGAGTTTTTGTGAGGCCTCGGGAAGAAGACTGGCAGGAAAATAGCCTGGTTGCTATGGAATTGTGAAACCACCTTTGGCAGGAAAGCCGGGTGGGGTGCAGTTGGATCTTGTCCTTGAAGAACACTGTGTATAGTGGTTCTGACATAAGGGCCTTGATTTCAGAAACCCTTCTGGCTGAGGTGATCATCACCAGGAAGACAACTTTCTAAGAGAGGAGAACGCTAGAGGTTCAAAGGGAGGGCCCATGAACCTTGACAGAACCAGGTTTAAGTCACACGGAGGGAGGACCTGAGGATAGAGTCTCTCCAGTACATTGAGAAACCGGACTGCCATCTTGTGAGAGAACACTGACCTGCCATTCACCAGTGGGTGGAAGGCTGAGACTGCTACCAAGTGCACCTTGATAGACACAAGGGCCAGACCTTGCTGCTTTAGATGGAGGAAGTAATTGCTATTAGCCAGGATGGGCAGGTATGGTGTCCCTAGCTTCCGTTTGCCAGAAGCTGGGAATGGGCGACAGAGGATGGATCACTTAATAGTTACCTGTTCTGTTCATTCCTTCTGGGGCACCTGGCATTGGCCACTGTTGGAGGACAGTATACTGGGCTAGATGGACCTTTGGTCTGACCCAGTATGGCCGTTATGTTCTTAAATAGTCCAAGATAATTTGAAGAGACCGGATCGGAGAGAGACCTCTATGTCACACCCAAATTGAGAAGCTCTTCCATTTGTCAAGGTAGGTAGCCCTAGTGGACGGCTTTCTACTACCTATCAAGATCTGGAGAACTAGCTCCTAACAGGCCTGCTCCTCCAGGTTCAGCCATGTAACATCCACACAGTTGGTGAAGAGAGGCGAGGTTTGGGTGAAGCAACCGGCCATTGTCTTCTGAGATCAGGTCCAGACAGAGCGAAAGCAGGAGTGGGATTGCTATTGATAGATCCAGCAGCGTGCCAAACCGGTGTTGATGTGGCCACACTGAGGCTATGAGAATAACTCTTGCCTTGTCCCGCTTGATTTTCAGGAGGACCTTGTGAACCAGAGGGACCGGGGGAAAAGCGTAGAGCAGCAGCCCTGTCCATGGGAGCAGGAAGGCATAGGAGAGAGAGCCCACGCTGTGCCCTCACAGCGAGAAAAACTGGTGGGACTTTCTGTTCTGCTTGGTCACGAACAGGTCCACCTGGGAAGACCCCCAGCTTTGGAAGATGAATCTGATGATTTATGGTGAAGGAACCCCTAGTGGTGAGAGGGAAAGGACCTGCTGAGGCGATCCACCAGTGCATTCTGGGCTCTGGGAAGATGTGATGCCTCAAGGTGGATGGAGTGCTTCGTGCAGAAATCTCATAGATGGATGGCCTCCTGACACAGGGTAGAGGATCAAGCTCCTCCCTGCTTGTTGATATAGAACATGGCCGCAGTATTGTCTGTCAGGACTTGCACCACCTTGCCAGAGATCTGGAGAAGGAACACTTGGCAGGCTAAGCAGACAACACTGAGTTCCCTGATGTTTATGTTCTTCCTGGTGTAGGCCAAGGCCTTTCTGCAATAAGAAGCAGCAGCATAGTAGGACAGCAGAAGCTATGACTTAAGAAGCAGGGAATAATGTCCCATCTAAACCACATCAAAACCATATAGTATTGGATTGTAAGAAGCATTTCTGCCCTAATAGCACCAACAGTGACAAAAAGGAAGAAAGACAAATCTTAAGATGTGCAAAGAGAACTTTGCAAGAAAACACTCTGTCTGGCAAAACCACTTACCAGCAGTTTTGGTTGAAAAGATACCATTGATTGCTTTTGTCTGTTTTTTAATTTGAAATACTTCCATTTGTTTCCATATACAGTAACTCCTCACTTAAGTCGTCCCGGTTAGCATTGTTTTGTTGTTACATTGCTGATCAATTACATGCTTGTTTAAAGTTGCGCAATGCCCGTTATTTGGCAGCCGCCTGCTTTGTCCACTGCTTGCAGGAAGAGCAGCCGGTTGGAGCTAGCTGGTGGGGGCTTGGAACCAGGATGGGCCAGTAGCCCCCTTCTCAGCTCCCCTAAGTTCCCTGTGCAGCAGCCCCCCAGCAGGCGATCAACTGCCAGGCAGTTCAGGTGTCCCTCCCCCATGGCCGTGTGCTGCTCCTGCCCTCTGCCTTGGAGCTGCTCCCAGGAGCCTCCTGCTTGCTGGCAGGGGAGCAGGGGGGGGAGAGGGATGCTGATGTCAGGGTGTCCCCCTCTCCCCGCTCCTTTACCTCATTCCACAGAGCAGGGGAGGACACGACAGGGCTCAGGATAGAGGAAGCTTGCTGGCAGTAGCTGCTGTCTCAACTTGCTGATCTACCTAAAAAGGACAGTGTACTTAGAGTGTACTTAGAGTGGGGTCGTCTCTCTCTCTCACACACACACACACACACACACACGGTGTGTGGCTCTGTCTCGCTCTGCTATGCTGTGTCTCCTCCCATAATTCATGCTGACTTGTAGAGTATGAGGCTACATTAACAACATGTTAACCCTTGAGGTCTCAGCCGAGTGCTAATTCATCATTTAGCAATAAGGCATTCCCTGGGAAATATCTCACCCTCTTCCACCCTCTGACTCCACCACCGCAACCAAGCTTCACAATCATCGTTGCTGTGTACCGTACTAAATTGTTTGTTTAAAACTTATACTGTGTGTGTATAAATAAAATATAGGCTCATCTGGCAAAAAAATTTCCCTGGAACCTAACCACCCCTTATTTACATTAATTCTTAAGGGGAAATTCGATTCGCTTAACATTGTTTCGCTTAAAGTAGCATTTTCCAGGAACGTAAGTACAACATAACTACTTACTGAATGGGGGAGGCAACGTAGTGACAGATAATGTGAAAAAAGGTGAAGTACTCAATGCTTTTTTTCCCTTGGTCTTCACAGACAAGGTCAGCTCCCAGACTGCTGCACTGGGCAACACAGTATGGGGAGGAGGTGAGCAGCCCTCAGTGGTGAAAGAACAGATTAAGGACTATTTAGAAAAGCTGGACATGTACAAATCCATGGGTCCAGATCTAATGCATCCAAGGGTGCTGGGGGAGTTGGCTGATGTGATTGCAGAGCCATTGGCTATTATCTTTGAAAATTTGTGGTGATCGGGGAAGGTCCCAGACGATTGGAAAAAATCAAACATAGTGCCCATATTTTAAAAAAAGAAGAAAGAGAACCCGGGGAACTACAGACCGGTCAGCCTCACTTCAGTCCCTGGCAAAAATCATGGAGCAGGTCCTCAAGGAATCCATTTTGAAGCACTTGGAGGAGAGGAAGGTGATCAGGAACAGTCACCATGGATTCACCAAGGGCAAGTCATGTCTGACCAACCTGATTGCCTTTTATGATGAGATAACTGGTTCTGTGGATATGGGGAAAGCGGTGGAAGTGATATATCTTGACTTTAGCAAAGCTTTTGATACGGTCTCCCACAGTATTCTTGCCAGTGAGTTGAAGTATGGATTGGATGAATGGACTATAAAGTGGATAGAAAGCTGGCTAGATTTTCAGGCTCAACGGGTAGTGATCAACAGCTCGATGTCTAGTTGGCAGCCGGTATCAAGCGGAGTGCCCCAGGGGTTGGTCCTGGAGCCGGTTTTGTTCAACATCTTTATTAATGATCTGGATGATGGGATGAATTGCACCCTCAGCAAGTTTGCAGATGACACTAAGCTGGGGGGAGAGGTAGATATGCTGGAGGGTAGGGATAGGGTCCAGAATGACCTAGACAAATTGGAGGATTGGGCCAAAAGAAATCTGATGAGGTTCAACAAGGACAAGTGCAGAATCCTGCACTTAGGAAGGAAGAATCCCATGCACCGCTATAGGCTGGGGATAGACTGTTCTGTAAGGAGCAGTTCTGCAGAAAAGGACCTGGGGATTACAGTGGATGAGAAGCTGGATATGAGTCAACAGTGTGCCCTTGTTGCTAATAAGGCCAACGGCATATTGGGCTGTATTAATAGGAGCATTGCCAGCAGACTGAGGGAAGTGAATATTCCCCTCTATTCGGCACTGGTGAGGCCACACCTGGAGTATTGTGTCCAGTTTTGGTCCCCCCGCTACAGAAGGGAAGTGGACAAATTGGAGGGAGTCCAGCAGAGGGCAACGAAAATGATTAGGGGGCTGGGGCACATGACTTACGAGGAGAGATTGAGGGAATTTGGGTTATTTAGTCTGCAGAAGAGAAGAGTGAGGGGGGATTTGATAGCAGCCTTCAACTACCTGAAGGGGGGTTCCAAAGAGGATGGAGCTAGGCTGTTCTCAGTGGTGGCAGATGACAGAACAAGAAGCAATGGTCTCAAATTGCAGTGCGGGAGGTCTAGGTTGGATATTAGGAAACACTATTTCACTAGGAGGATGGTGAAGCAATGGAATGGGTTACCTAGGGAGGTGGAGCAATCTCCATCCTTAGAGGTTTTTAAGGCCTGGCTTGACAAAGCCCTGGCTGGGATGATTTAATTGGTGTTTGTCCTGCTTTGAGCAGGGGATTGGACTAGATGACCTCCTGAGTTCTCTTCCAACACTAATATTCTATGATTCTAACATTAAGCGAGGAGTTACTATAGTTATCACTGTCTGTTTTTTAGCCCCGTCTACACTACGAGTTTAGGTCAAATTTAGCAGCGTTAGATCGATTTAACCCTGCATCCGTCCACACGATGAAGCCATTTTTGTCAACTTAAAGGGCTCTTAAAATTGATTTCTGTACTCTGCCCGATGAGGGGATTAGCGCTGAAATCGACCCTGCTGGGTCGAATTTGAGGTAGTGTGTACGCAATTCGATGGTATTGGCCTCCGGGAGCTATCTCAGAGTGCTCCATTGTGACCACTCTGGACAGCACTCTCAACTCAGACGCACTGGCCAGGTAGACAGGAAAAGCCCCGTGAATGTTTGAATTTCATTTCCTGTTTGGCTATCATGGTGAGCTGATCAGCACAGGTGACCATGCAGAGCTCATCAGCACAGGTGACCATGGAGTCCCAAAATTGCAAAAGAGCTCCAGCATGGACCGAACGGGAGATACTGCATCTGATCGCTGTATGGGGAGACGAATCCGTGCTATCCGAACTCAGTTCCAAAAGACGAAATGCCAGAATATTTGAAAAAATCTCCGAGGGCATGAAGGACAGAGGATATGACATGGACCCGCAGCAGTGCCGCGTGAAGCCTACCAAAGTACCAGAGAGGCAAAGAGCCGCTCCGGGTCAGAGCCCCAGACATGCCGCTTCTATGATGATCTGCATGCCATTCTAGGGGGTGCCCCAACAACTACCCCACCCCTGTGCTTCCCTCCTTCCTCACCCCTCCCGGGCTACCTTGGCAGTTATCCCCCCATTTGTGTGATGAATTAATGAAGAATGAATGAATTTGAAACAACAATGATTTTATTGCCTCTGCATGCGGAGATCAAAGGGGAGAGGGGAGGGCGGTTGGCTTACAGGGAAGTAAAGTGAACCAAGGGAGCGGGTTTTCATCAAGGAGAAACAAACAGAACTTTCACACCATAGCCTGGCCAATCATGAAACTGGTTTTCAAAGCTTCTCTGATGCACAGCGCACCCTGCTGTGCTCTTCTAACTGCCCTGGTGTCTGGCTGCGCGTAATCAGCAGCCAGGTGTTTTGACTCAACCTCCCACCCCACCATAAACGTCTCCCCAGATATTGTGGAGCACACAGCAAGCAATAATAACGATGGGAATATTAGTTTCGCTGAGGTCTAACCGAGTCAGTAAACTGCGCCAGCGAGCTTTTAAACATCCAAAGGCACATTCTACCACCATTATGCACTTGCTCAGCCTATAGTTGAACTGCTCCTTACTACTGTCCAGGCTTCATGAGCCATGGGAGCAAGGGGTAGGTGCGACCGCGAGGTGCTGCCGACTGGGAGAGCAGCCTGAGGCAGAAGCCTCCAGCTGGCATGATATTTCAGGCAGGACTGAATCTCCACTAGACGAAACTTAAAGAAGAGAATGACTTGGAGTCATTCCCATTTTTGTCCAGGCGCCCCTGACCAACCTCACCGCGGCCAGCCAGGAGCACCCATGTCTGCCCAGGCGCCCCCGACCAACCTAACCGAGGTCGGCCAGGAGCACTCACGGGACGACGGCTAGCAGTCGTATTGCACCATCTGCCGTCCACAAGGCAAGGCAAGGGGATGCTACTATGTAGGATTGCAGTACCACGTCTGCCAGCAGCACCCAGGAGACATACGGTGACAGTGAGCTGAGCGGACTCCATGCTTGCTGTGGTATGTGATCTGCACAGGTAACCCAGGAAAAAAGGCGATAAACGATTTTTTGCCATTGCTTTCACAGAGGGAGGGAGAGAGGGGGGCCTGATGACATATACCCAGAACATCCTGATATCAAGGATGGTACAAAAACATTCCCCAAGGATAACAGGGGAACACACTGACCCCTCCTAAAAGATAAGGTCAGGATGCAGTACGTAATAAAGATGTTTTAATCAAACCAACATGTACAAGGTGATGGGTGATAACTAGCCACGTCAGGGGGCAGTAACTATGTCAGAGTAGCAGTATGTAACTTGTTTGTATCAGGGTATAAAGATGTATCTCAGAGGGAGTGTCTTTGTCTAGCCTAGGGAGGAATGGAAAGTCCCATCTTTCACTGAGCTGGTCCATTGTTACGGGCATACATGTATTAGTGGTAATGTAGAGTCTGCGGGATACTCGTACCACAGGGCCATGTCAATAAGGCTGTGGGATGATTCCTTAAAATCCTATCTCCAGACCCAGGTTAGCTGCTATCTGCTTCAGAAGGTCCTGATGGGCCCTGAAGTCATCCTGCAGAAGAGATGTTACTCAGCCTCAAGACAGCCTCCTCTGGGGAGGAGGAGGAGGAAGCTTGCACCAGAGGAGGGGCTCCTTCCTCTTCCTCAATGACATTCATGGTAGCCACATTCTAAACGTCGGACCCAGAGTCAGAGTCCAGTGCCAGCAGGGAAGGGGTGGTAGCCCACTCTCAGAAATCAACAGGTATGATTGATGAGAAGGAGGACTAGGTACCAGGGGAAACCCCTCGGGTTCCAGTATGGACACTGCATAGGCTACTGAACCATTGGCCAGGTGCTGGCGGGGGAACCCGCACCGAGGTCTGGCAGCACTGGGTACTGGTGGTGGCCCTGAGGCTCAACATAGGGTTCCCGAGTGGCCCAATGCAAGTCGCACTCCGCTGCCTTCCCCATGCTTGTCCTTCTTCTGCACTGGTGAGTGCCCTCTGTTGGTGCACTGCTTTTTGTGCTTCTTCTTCAGCACTGGAGATGGTGAACAGTGCTAGGAAGAGCGTGGTGCTGGAGGAGCACTTCGCACCAAGGCCAAAGTGCTTGGTGCAGAATTGGTGCAGCTTGGCTCTGAGGCCAGTCTTAGACTGGCTTCCATTAGGATAGCCTTCAGTCTTATTTCTCTATCCTTTTTTGTGCAGGATCTAAAGTCCCGACAAATGTGGCACTTGTCCCTCATGTAGTTTCTCACAAGCACTTCAAACGGCTGGAGTGTGGGTCGCGCACAGGTTTGCCGCAGGAACCACAATGTTTGAAGCCTGGGGGACATGCCCAGCTGCTGGGGCGAAAAAAGTCCCTCGACGATAGGGACTATCTATTCACACTAACGCTAACTACAATATCTATATACACTAAAATTATACTTAAAACTAATAAACTATTAATCAGAATCCAAAAACCACTGGGAAGAAGCCTTGCTGAAGCAAGAGAGCTTGTTCCAGCAACAGTCACAGACAGTAAAAAGAAACTGAGAGGGTGAGTGGTTGGTGGCGCCCCTTATACCGGCACATAAGCACGCAGCACCAGAGGTGCTAGAGCCAGCCCGACGGATACCACTGAGGGAAAAATCTTTGGCAATGGTGCACATGGCGCGCACACACCTAACGTGGCATGGACAAGAAGAACCAATCTTTGAATGAAATTTTTGTAAAAATATCCATATTTTCCAGGTCATTAATAAATATTAAGCACTGGCTGTAGAACAGAACCTTGTGGCACCTGCTTCCAGCTTTCTGCCATGATGAAAATTTACCATTTATTTCTTTGTATCTCTGTTTCCTGACTGTTAGTCAATCTCTGATCCATTACAGTTCTTTACCTCTCCCCCATGACTACTAAGTTTCCTTCATAGCCCCGATGAGAGACTTTTTGATATAGGCTTTTTGAAACTTCTAATGAATTATATCTACCAGTTCTCCTTTACCCACAGGTATGGTAGGCCTTGCACACTGACCTTCCCATTGTGTCCTTTCAGATTATTAACATTCTCAAAGCTGGTGGTGGAGTAAATATGAATCACGTTTCCATTAACTGCAGCAAAAAGATGACCCCCATTACTGAAGGTGCACTGGAGAGAGAGAGCGAGAGAACACACACAACTATTACTGAATGTATGATGGAAATACAGAAAAAAACCCACAACACCCAGTCTCTTACTGAAGTTGCAATACAGTCACCAGTGTTTGAAGGTCATGCAAGAAGAAACCTCCATGTATGGACATCATTTTTCATGATGCCCCCTCATCTCCTAGGACCCTCTTCTTAGCTACCCTATGGGTCTGATGCCCCTTTCTCCTGCAACTTCCACTTCCACAGTGCTTCTCACCTCTCTGGTGACTCCCAGGTCCCAAGCCCCCATTATGCCCTTTTTCATTCAGGATTCCCTCCTCAGATTCTCATATCTCAACATTCACACTATTGTTCTCCTCTCCGAACTCAACTTCCACATTGCTCCCCACCATGTCATTCACCCCACTTCCCAAGCTCCCCTGATCCCAGCTTCTATGTTGCTCCTCACCTCTCTGCACCCTCTCACAGTGAAGTCCTTAAAAGTACGGATGTCATCAATTAGCAGGTTCATAAGCCGTAGTTTGTCAGAAAACCCAACCAAAACGTAAAGGCCAGTGGGATGAAGAGAAACTGCATATGCTTCTTCCTGGTACTCCTTATACAAGTCCAAAGTGCTGCAAGAATCACCACAGTCAGTAACACAGCCCAAGTCACACACTTACAAACAGCCAGACAGATGTCTAGCCCTGCACTGAGAATTGCTGCAAGACCCCTTGTAGAGATTTAGGGTGATGTGAAACAATCAGCCATGCCACAGTCACACAGGTGATACAGTCAATGAACAGGAATTTGGGCACCTGTCTATGGGGAAAGGTAAGGCAGGTTTGCAGGAGCAGAGACTCACTTGTCCACTGTTACACAATGAGGGAGATGAACGCAGTTCTGGTTGGATATCACACAATAGAAATACATAGTCTGAGCTCCCCTGGCCATGTGAGACAATAAAATCAGTAGAATTGTTTAGTATTTCATATCCCTAGAATGCAGTGTCAGACACGTCCACTTTAATTATTGTACTGTGACGTGCTTAGAGAAAAATTCATCACGAGAATGTGTGTGTGTTTGTGTTTCGGGGGGTGCAAGCCGGGCGGGCACGGGCCCACGGCGGCCAAGCTGCGGCAGAGTGTCTCCGAGACGGAGCGGAGGCAAGCTGGTGGTGGGGTGGGGCGTGGAGTTCCGGCAGCTTTTTTTTTTTTTGCGCAACCTTTTCTTTGAAAAGCTCCAGTAATCCCATGCCTTGGAACAAGGCCTTGAAATTTGGCAGTGTCAGGGCTGTGCCTTTTGCCATCCCAGTGGAAATTTGCCCAGATTTGGCCAAGTTCTAAGCCCCTGAAAAATCACAGTTTGTAGATGTTAAGACTTGCTAGAGCTTAACAGATAAAATTTCTGAAGATTCCATCCTCATTGAGCATACTCAAGTCTCTCTCAGCTCCTAGCACTGTCCAGACTACACATGCACCATCCCCACAGAGAAACTGTGCATACTCCATTTAGCCCAGGGCTACAGGGGTGAAGCCAGACTCCCTGTCATAGCTTCCACATGCATAGCTTCTTCACGCAGCACACAGTCAACTTGTGGAACTCCTTACCTGAGAAGGTTGTGAAGGCTAGGACTATAACAGCGTTTAAAAGAGAACTGGATAAATTCATGGTGGTTAAGTCCATTAATGGCTATTAGCCAGGATGGGTAAGGAATGGTGTCCCTAGCCTCTGTCTGTCAGAGGATGGAGATGGATGGCAGGAGAGCGATAACTTGATCATTGCCTGTTAGGTTCACTCCCTCTGGGGCACCTGGCATTGGCCACTGTCGGTAGACAGGATACTGGGCTAGATGGACCTTTGGTCTGACCCGGTACGGCCTTTCTTATATTCTTATCTTATGTTATATTACCATGCATCTTTGGCTACCTCTCTTGCACTCTGCCCACTAATCCATTTCCAACAGCACTATTTCAAATATTTCAGTTCTGTAGGCAGACTCAAACAGATGCCATTTTTAAAAAAAGACTGTCATAAAAGCATCTCCTTTCTTTCTGCCACCCAACCCCTCTTCCACACTGAGGAATTTCCCCAGCAGTAGCTCAGAGTCAGAACTTTAGGTGGGGCATTTGCCTTCACATTGAAAATACCCCTCAGGGCTGCCAGGCTGTTCAGAAAAGTCCTGGTACTAGAATGGGCACTATATCATTTGGGGCACAAAAGCAACTCCAGGAATGGACTCTTCTCTATACAGAAGAGCTAGTTTGTTAATTTAAACAGCTGTGGGTGAAACACATAACTGGAATGACAGTAAAGTTATTTTCTCATCTTCTGAATGGAGCAGTGCCCAAGGCACCCCAATGGTAGAATCTTTACTGAATTTCCCCTAAAATTACACTGATCTGAGGATTGCAGTCTTGTTGTAAGTAAGTATAAAGAAGTGTTGGTCTAATCAAAGGTATTACCTCACCCACCTTGCCTCACTGATCTCAGGTATAGTAAGAGCAATATTAAAATCCTGGCCCAGTGACAGATTTCAAGTCTTATATCTTGCAAGCCATCAGACTATAAATGGTTGCAATATCTCACTGGAGAGCTGGAAATCCCCGTTTCCGCAGCGTAAAGCATTTATTCCTAGCAGATTTGTTATACAGAATTATTTTTGATCATTTTAAAATGTTCTGAAATGTATTAGTTATTTTTCTCTCCCTTTGAGGCCTGAAGAGTTAGACAGACTCATGATGGTAACATACAGTAGCTTTTTGTGAGATGTACAAAAAACAGTCATTTTTTAAAAAACTAAAAAAGCTCTCTGAGCATTTCTAATATAATTTTTGGGAAATTTGTGGCATATGCAATACATGATGGCATGGTATGGTATCAAGGTCTCAGTGATGATTGGTACTTGTTTTGAATGTATTGCAAATCTATGCTGATCCCAAAATACTGCCAGTAAGGCCACTCTTATCCCACACCATACAGTGACACCACCAAAAACAGACATGCACATGCTAAGACATCTGTAGTTGTCCATTACAGGAGACTTGCAAAGACAGAAAGCAGTAAAAACAAAGATGGTTCTTTACTTTGTTTCATAGTTCCAGATGCGTACAGATCTGTCCAGGGAACATGTAGCAACGAGGGGTTTACGGATACAGATGTCCAGTCCAGTGATGGCAGCAGAATGTAATGGGAAATTCAGATACTCAAAGTGAGCTGGTTCCCCCTAGAGAAGTGTCACAAATAATTAAACACTCAGAAAAAAATCATATTGGCTTAGACTGATCAAGAGACAGTAACCAAAGGACAATGATAAACCTCAATGCATGGAATTGGGGAGAGGTATCTTGTGTGGTACTAGACTAAAAATGCACCAGAAATTTAAAATAGGGAATAATGGTGTTAGGTACAGTTCTATTTGGCATCTTTACTACTGATATGGAAGAGTGATGGGATTCAGACACAGTACGATATTGTGAAGATTTGTGCACATCAGCAAGAACAGAAAAATAATGCACAAGGGCCTAAAGAGACATGAGCAATAACAAAAATGAGAACTGACCTGGAAGATGGCAGTTAATACATATAAGGAAAAATAATCTGAAAAGCAGATACTGAATGGGAAGTAGGAACCTGGGAAGCAAATTAGATAGGAGTTTGCAGTGTGATATAGCTGGGGGCGGGAGGTGAGGAGAGAAGAAGTCAGTGAGGTTTTGGGCTGCATATACAACAGCATGCCATCATGGAACAGTCCCTGTCTGTACAGATGCTCTAGTATGACTCACCTGGAATAAGTATTTAATTCCATCTAGGCATTTATACAAGACAATGAGAGTTCTGTCCTTAATTAGCTTGTAAAAGTTCTTTAGTGCAGGAACTAGCTTCAACTGCATATTTGTGCCCAACACAATGGGATTCTGATTTTGACTAGGACTTCTATGTGCTACCATAATATGAATACTCTACTTCCAAATATAATAATAAGAAGACAGATTCTCAGCTTTAAGATTGTATTAAAGATTTTTGCATATTAAATTTATTAAACATATACACAGAGCACTTCTCTGCACTACAAGGATGGGATGGGATGGGTTCAGCATCTCACAGGTGGATTTTACAAAAACCTTCCACAGAAAGTGACACTGGAAACCAAGTGCCTTGCTTATATATTGCTTACTGAGTGTTGTGCTTAAGGAACGGTGATCAAATTGAACTTACCTTAATTATCTCAGTTGAGGACATGGTAAAGATGTAGAGCTGATTTTTACTTGTGCTAATGAGTAGCGTTTCCTCTGAGGGGCTAAAACACATGCACATAACATCCTGCTTGTCTGACTGATTTGGGTCACTGCTGCGCTGGTCCTGGGGAATCTACACAGCAAACCAGTCCCATTAGACTATTTCAAATCTCAGTACTCCACATAGCACCCACACTTGCAATGTAATTCTGCTTTGGTAGGGATATGCTTAGAAATCAATTGACTCTAAAGAAGTAGGTGCCTTACCTACACAAAGACAGCAATGCAGACAAGGTGACCCAGGTGGAATTTTCCATCTTTAATGGCTATAATTTAGGAACACATTTTCAACATTTGTCTTAATATATGTATCACATATAAAAAATGGCAACAAAAGAACACTAAGCAAAGTCAAGCACTCAAGTTAGGAAATGGCAGAATTACGGTTGTCCATGAAAGAACGGTTCCTTACCTTACAGTACTTGTGCTTCTTTGAGATGCGTTTTCCACAGGGACTCCAGTCCTAGTGATCATGTGTCCCATGTGCATAGATCCTTTTGGCCAGCAGTGACCATTGGGGCTGCACCTCTGCTCTAGTTCTCCTAGTGCTCCCCTACCCAAGGGTATAAAGAGCAGAGTGGGCACAACCACCTCCTTCACCACTACAGAATACAAGAAGGGTAGGACTCTGTAGTAGGGGGAAAGAAGGCAGGTCATGGAATCCATGCGGACAATATATCTCAAAGAATCACAGTTACTGTAAGGTAAGTAACCATTTCTTCTTCGAATGATTGTCCACATGGATTCCACTCTTGGTGACGTACAAGCAGTCATCAGTTTGCTTGAAGGTGGTGTGATGCTAGCAGGCCAGGTGCCAGCTCTTGCCAAGACTGCAGGCATTAGCTAAGAAAAAACAGTTACTCATCTTCTTGTAACTGTTGTTCTTCGAGATGTGTTGTTCATGTCAATTCCAAACAGGTGTGTGTGCGCATGCACGGCAGCTGGAAGATTTTTCCCCTAGCAATATCCATCGATCCCCCATGGCGCGCAATATAGGGCCCTACTGACCCGTCACCCCCTTAGTTCCTTCTTGCTGGCTACCCCAATAGAGGAGTGGGTGGGTGGATATTGGAATGGACATGAACAACACATCTCAAAGAGCAGTTACGAGACGGTGAGTAACCATTTTTTCTCATTCGAGTGTTTGTTCATCTCAATTCCAGTCAGGTGACTCCCAAGCCTAAATTCAGGAGGCGGGGTCAGAACTGTCTACTGACTGGAGCACTGCTCTGCCAAAGGCCGCATCGTCTCTGGCCTGCTGGGTAATTGCGTAATGTGCGGTGAAAGTAAGTATGGAGGACCATGTCGCCGCTCTGCATATTTCCTGGGTCGGAACTTGCGCTGGGAACGCTGCTGAAGAAGCCTGCGCCCTAGTGGAGTGCGCTGTGAGCAGAGGGGCAGGCACCTCTGCCAGGTTATAGCATTCATGGATGCAGGACATGATCCACGAGGAAATTCGTTGGGAGGAGACTGGAAGACCCTTGATCCTGTCTGCCACGGCCATAAACAGTTGAATGGACTTCCTAAATGGTTTTGTTCTTTCACTGTAAAGTGCTAGTGCTCTGCGGACATCCAATGAGTGGAGCCTCTGCTCCCTGCTGTTTGAGTGCGGCTTAGGAAAGAACAGTAGGATGAAGATGTCCTGGTTGATGTGAAACTGGGAGACAACCTTCGGGAGGAAAGCTGGCTGTGGCCTGAGCTGAACCTTGTCCTTATAGAACACAGTGTAAGGGGGCTCTGATGTTCGGGCCTTGAGCTCAGACACCCTTCTCCTGGCTGAGGTTATAGCTACCAGAAATGCCAGCTTGTATGACAGGTAGAGCGGGGAACAAGTCACCAGTGGTTCGAAGGGCAGACCCATCAATTTGGAAAGGACCAGATTGAGGTCCCAGGTTGGGGCCGGTTGTCGGACGTGCCGATATAGCCTGTTGAAACCTTTCGGGAAACAGCTGATCATAGGGTTGGCAAACACTGACTGGCCCTCTGCACCTGGATGGAAGGCAGAGATGGTGGCCAAGTGAACTCTTATTGATGACATGGACAGTCCCTGCTGCTTGAGATGGAGAAGGTAGGCTCTCTGCACAGGTACTACTGCGGAGAAGGATTTGGAGGAGCCCTCTGAGGGAAGGGATCAGAAGGAGACCATATCGGCAAGAAGGCATAGGATGCCTAGGAATAGGGGTTCCATGACCACCATTCCCAAGAGGAGGAGATGGGTGGTGGTGGTCGAGGACTCCCTCCTAAGGGGGACGGAGTTATCAGTCTGCCGACCAGACCGGGAGACTTGCAAAGTGTGCTACTTGCCTGGAGCTAGAATCCAGGATGTGACGAAGTGTCTGCCAAGACTGATCAAGACCTCGGACTGCTACCCCTTCCTACTTTTCCACGTGGGCACCAATGATACTGCCAAGAATGACCTTGAGCGGATCACTGCAGACTACGTGGCTCTGGGAAGAAGGATAAAGGAGTTTGAGGTGCAAGTCGTGTTCTTGTCCATCCTCCCTGTTGAAGGAAAAGGTCCAGGTAGGGACCATCGAATTGTGGAGGTGAATGCATGGTTATGCAGGTGGCGTAAGAGAGAGGGCTTTGGATTCTTCGACCATGGGATGTTGATCCGGGAAGAAGGATTGCTAGGAAGAGATGGGATCCACCTAATGAAGAGAGGGAAGAGCATCTTCGCAGGCAGGCTTGCTAACCTAATGAAGAGGGCTTTAAACTAGATTTGCTGGGGGATGGTGACCTAAGCCCAGAGGTAAGTGGGAAGTGGGATACTGGGAGGAAACCCAAGGAGGAGGGTACAAGATGGGAAGCCTCCTGATTCATACTGAGAAAGTAGGGCAATCGGCTAGTTATCTTAGATGCATGTACACGAACGTAAGATGCCTGGGAAACAAGCAGGAAGAATTGGAAGTCCTGGCACAATCAAGGAACTGTGATGTGATTGGAATAACAAAAACTTGGTGGGGCAATTCACATGACCGGAGCTCTGTCATGGATGGGTATAAACTGTTCAGGAATGAAGGAACACAAAATAGACACCGTGTAGATTTAAGCAGGTGGGTTTATTATTCACAGCGCTGGCGGAGTGTTACCTTGCTTATTAGGCTCAGAGACACTGCCAATTAATTGATTACAAAGGATTATATAGATTTTCATGGGCAGAGGAAAGTGACGGGGTAGGTAGTCCCAAACCCTTGGATAGGTTTAGCAGCAAGACAAGATAAGCATAGTAGCCAATAGTTAAAGATTACATAATGTCTCCGCCTATGGTTTCAGGTTAACAAGTAACATACAATTAGTACTTTAAACAATGTATAAAATGTATATTGGTATAAAATATATATGTTGAATTCTGATTTGGGGTTTATAGGAATGAAGTAGCCCTTTTTTGATTGTCCAATAGGTACATACCTAGGGGTTAAAACAAAAGACAAATGAAAAGTACATGGTAATAAAGATTGTTTTTCAGTTGCTCATTTGTGTTTTTAAGGCAGGCACTGGTATCTGTGGGAAACAGCAGGGAGGATATCATAGATTCTAGGTGTGGAGGGGACCTCAAGAGATCGAGTCCAGTCCCCTGCCCTCATGGCAGGACCAAATACTGTCTAGCCCATCCCTGATAGACATTTATCTAACCTACTCTTAAATATCTCCAGAGATGGAGATTCCACAACCTCCCTAGGCAATTTATTCCAGTGTTTAACCACCCTGACAGTTAGGAACCTTTTCCTAATGTCCAACCTAAACCTCCCTTGCTGCAGTTTAAGGCCATTGCTTCTTGTTCTATCCTTAGAGGCTAAGATGAACAAGTTTTCTCCCTCCTCCTTATGACACCCTTTTAGATACCTGAAAACTGCTATCACGTCCCCTCTCAGTCTTCTCTTTTCCAAACTAAACAAACCCAATTCTTTCAGCCTTCCTTCATAGGTCATGTTCTCTAGACCTTTAATCATTCTTGTTGCTCTTCTCTGGACCCTCTCCAATTTCTCCATATCTTTCTTGAAATGCGGTGCCCAGAACTGGACACAATACTCCAGTTGAGGCCTAACCAGCGCAGAGTAGAGCGGAAGAATGACATCTCGTGTCTTGCTCACAACACACCTGTTAATACATCCCAGAATCATGTTTGCTTTTTTTGCAACAGCATCACACTGTTGACTCATATTTAGCTTGTGGTCCACTATAACCCCTAGATCCCTTTCTGCCGTACTCCTTCCTAGACAGTCTCTTCCCATTCTGTATGTGTTAAACTGATTGTTCCTTCCTAAGTGGAGCACTTTGCATTTGTCTTTATTAAACTTCATCCTGTTTACCTCAGACCATTTCTCCAATTTGTCCAGATCATTCTGAATTATGCCCCTGCCCTCCAAAGTAGTTGCAATCCCTCCCAGTTTGGTATCAGAGTTCATTCAATAACTCACTAACAAATATCCTGCGGTAGTGCCCAGAGGCCCTGGTTGG